AAAAAAAAAAAAAAAAAAAAAAAAAAAAAAAACATCCAAAGCAAGACCAGAAGTAAAACCTGCACTTGTTCCTAAATGGTGACCATGTGGCAAAAAGGCTCCATAAAAATTTAACACCACTCCCCACTAAGCAGATCAAAGTACATGTGGGGAGTGCAGGCTTACTGGTTCTAGACGGGCGTTTGCATCCTGGAAAGACTGAAGTTTCACTGGCTCTTGTAGACCCCCCCCCACTAATGCCCCCTGAACTGTACCCTAAGCCCAGAATGCCCTCAGGGCACCGATTGCAACAACAAACATGAAGCAGATTCCTATTTAAAAATGACCTACCGGTACTACCTTGAAAAAGGCTTAACAGAACTGCTTTTCTCATTTCCAATCAGTGCTGCACTGCAAAAACAATCTAGAAAAAAGTAAAAATTTCATAAATTAAGTGTATTCACCCTTAATTTGAGTAGGTAAACGAGATAGTTAGCCAATGGAATGAGTATTTTTACCCTTAAACTAAGATAATTAGATGATATGCACTTGAAATAAGACAATGCAATTGTGTTTTCTTATTTTAAGTGTAAATTGTCTTGTTCCATTGGCAAAATGTCTCTTTTACCTCCTCAATTCAAGAACAAATGCACTTATTATAAGAAAAAATGACTTATCTAGATTTAGCTTTTTTGCAGTGTGGCCGTAAGGGAAGCCCTGCTTTATATGATGCACTTTATTAAACAGGATTAGCAGACTGTTTCCATTGATTTTGAACTCTACCAGTCCACCTTTAGTTTTTGGCTAACAAAGTTAACCATGGAAGATTAATCTTTTGCAACTTATCAAATTTAGTTTTGTTAGGAGTTGACCTTCTAATCATGAGGCTTAAACCTAAATAAAAGCTGGTCGCTTTTTATCAGTATCTCTGCTTATTAAAGAATATGACTGCAGCTATCAATTATCTTTCTAATCAATTATTCTAGTTATCTTTATTATTTCTAGTTTTTCAGTTCATTTTAACCCTGTAATGCCAAATGTATCGTATTTGATACATATGGTTTCTGAAATGTTTTGCATCTGACACCTTTTGCATAATTTAATGGTAAAAACTTTGCTCAAAATCCTATTGTACACAATCAGATATACCTGATAACAGCCAGTAGAAGACTACACAAAAAATAATCTTGACTTATCGCATAGTAATAAATTATTAATATCAAAAATGTATTTCTGTTTTTTCTTTTTACATATTTTGTTAAAAGGGCAAATAAGGAATTCAAACCAAGAAAAAGTAATTTTCTGTTTTGTTTTAGTCTTGGATCGGGCTTTAAAGGGTTAAAGATATAACGTTGGTAGATTAACACACCTTAATAAACAATTTTTTGAACCTAAAATGAATCTTTATTCATCTGCTTGACCTTATCTTTTTGCAACTTTTATGATAAAGACATATTGTCGAAAACAGAGGTCTTCAACAGGGGGTCCGCGGCCCCTAGGGGGTCCCCGAAGGTACTGCATGGGGGTCGCGAAAGTTTTGGCTGATTAGACTTTTTTTTTTTTATATTCCTCCCTGCAATTCTTTCCACTAATTGAATTTTTTTAAAATCCACATTAACATGAATTCAACACACCGTAGTAAACAGATAAATCTGTAATAGAGTGACTAAAGGACCATTTTGATATAACACAATTTCATACAGTATATATAATTAGGAGGTCCCTGCTCCATCTCACCATCAGTTTGGCGGTCCTAGGCCTGGAAAACGTTGAAGACCTCTGGTGTAAAATATTGTCAGTATGTTCAAGACAGAGAGATTTAAGAGGAGGATTTAGCCAAAACCTAAGTATTTACATCAATACTAAGTATACATGTCAATATGTAAAGTATCAAAATGATTTAACTACAGTTAATGGTGCTGTTAATTTAATTCATAACAGGTTTTGAGATTGCAAAAGTATAAAGTATCATAAAGTCAATTTTTTACAAATTATCACTAAGCTTTGGAAACAGCAGTTTGCAAGACTAAAAGGTCTCTGAAGCTCCGGCTTATGGATCAGCACACATATGTGCTGACTGTTGCCAGCCATCTGCAGACGACAACAGGAGGATTAAGACGTCCTAAAACACTTAGCTGCACCTGATTTGAAGCTTAAATCAATGCGCCGCACTTTGTTTGGCAGATAAATCGAACAGCTTCCAGATGCACACCTCTAATCCCTCCCCGGTCAGAGCAGATGCTCTGGAACAAAAGGTAACTGAAACTAGGAAGGAGGAGCTCAGCAGCAACCTGTCCCCCATTTAAAGATCCAAACCATAGCAGAAACAACAAAACGTACAGCGGATAAAAAAAAACCCTGAACAAATTGGGTATAAACAGTTTATTATCATCAGCGTAGAATGAAATCCTATTGACAACTAGTTTTAAAAGAAAAATTTAGAGCAGACGCCTTTGATTTACAAATAATCCAAGGTTTTGAGAGGAAAAGAGATTTAAAACAGAAACTCACTCTTTGTTGAATAGTTGCATGTTTATGTTCCATCTCCCGCTTCTCCATGGCAGAATCGATGACCAGCTGATCCAGCTGAAAGTCATTTCACAAACGGGAAAACATCGTACATGTTATGTTTATGCTGCTTATAAAGTTCTGCTCACATAGACAAGAAAAGCTGAGAAAAAAAAACTGAACAGGACCAGCAGGGAAAGGTAATGATACTTAATAAAGCAAGAAAAAAAACACTATAAAATGACACCAAATTCATTGGAAAATCCAAATAGAAGAATAAATAATAAGTGAAAAATAAGGGATTGTGTTGATTGTAGACAAAACTATAAGTAAAATTGTTTTTAGGGCTGCAACTATCAATTTGTTTTAGTAATCAATTAATATATTGATTATTTTTTAGGTAATCAATTAATCTAAAAAAATATACTTTTAGTAAATTAACATTTTTGTGTATTTAAAATTTATTGCAAATCACAAAATGCAAAAAATATACATGGATATACATTTCATAATTTATCTATATACAGAGAATTTAATCTTAATTAAAAAAAAAAAAACGTTTATTATACAGCTACAAATGTTTATAGTTTATATTTGTTTAGTTTGGTCTTAATTACTGCTTTAAGTAAGTCATCCTTTCAGGAAAT